CCTTTTTTATCATTAGCGGGGGTCTTGGATTCCCAGGTATTCTTTGGAATGCCCAATCAGAACATAGCTGATTATCTTATGTCACACACACTGATCACAGCTATCAGGGGCACACAGCAATATGATTGCAGTGATAGCAGAGCACAGGGAAAATTCATCAAATGAAGAAAGTGAAAGTTCTGATTGTTACAATGTCTCTTAATCTGAATTAAGCACATCCTCCAAAAGTAGTGGTGAGGAAGAAAGCATATCAAACCAGGTTAAAGTGAAAGGTGATGTGTCCACCACAAAGAACTCACAGCCGGGAAAGAGGCAAAAGAAAGATACATCTTTAAATGCTAAAGATATGGAAGACATCAAAACCTGGATTTTCACAGTAGCAGAAGTCAAGAAAGTCAAAGAACAGCTCTGGTTGATTCTGATAGGGGGATGCACAAATTAAAGGTTATCGTAAATGTTTTCTGGAGCATCTGTTATTCAAAGCAGAAGTGAACAATTTTCAGTTGTTGGTAAGTGGGTTTTGCCACAAGTTTTCTACTCTAGCAATTGAAGCATTCAAGAGCAATCTTCACACTTACAGGAAAGCAGCTTTTTTGGTTGCATGGATGAAGCAAAACTAAATGAGCACAATCTCCACCAGCATGAAATTCTGTTTAGTGTTTTTATGTTGTTGTACTGGCAAGTTGAGCATTAAGAACCAGATGATCTCCCTGCAACTTTGGAGATTGACCCATGTTCCTCCCATGTCCCAAAAGTTGTCAAACAGCCAAACTTTAATGCATATATGGCCTTAACTGTGATGATGTGGACAACATAGGACTCTGACAATGAATTAGACTATATTTGTGAATAAATCTTTAGATAATTTCTTGCAGCATTTCGAAGCTTTTATGTATACAAATACAATTATTAGAAGTGTAATACAGTGAAAAAATTGAATGATAATGATTATGTAATGATTTTAATCAAGTTTTCAGAATGAGTTAAATCAGTTCAAGTAGATTGCTTGAATAAAAATGGACGGATTGTAGTGAATTTAATTGAAAAAGAAAATATCAAAACCAAATAAGCATAGAGTAACACCAGTCTGAGGAATGTAATATGCAGTGTTTAAACGCTGCGAAATATTCCAACATACTTCTTTTACTACGGTCACAGTCAACATCAGAAAAAAATTTTGTGGTTCATCTTATATGCCATTTCTTTTTGCCACATGAATTGGACGGAAAAAATGTTAGGGGGGTTGGAAATAAACTTCTGCTTGATCCACTTAAAATGGATAGGATAAGACAGATAATCTTTAAATTTTTTCCATTAACATGAACACAACAAGAACAGTAACATGCTTTTTTTATAAATTATCTAATGTCCTATTACCACAAACACATGAACAAAACAACATTCTCAGAAAGGATACTGTACTGCTCCTAATTTGGCTCAACATTTGTCATCACTAGAGTTTGTTTCATCATTTTCTTTTGCTTCCAAAGATGGTGTTGTCCCCCAATGCAAGCAATCTACCAACTTTTCCTTACCTAATGCTTATCATCAGCCAGTGCTGGCAATCTATTGTTTTGCAATTTTTCCTTGAGAGAAGTACATCCAGTGATTTCTTTTTCCTGAAAAGCAGGAGCTGGACAGACGTGAATCTGACAGATATGTCAAATTTACAACCTAAGATTTAAAGGAAAACGTCAATTAAGAAGATTTGATCTCTCTTCTCTAACACGAGTCTTTCAGGTAGAGGGCTGCCAAAATAATCTATTTTACTTAGTAGTCAAATGTTGAAGATAAATGATTTGTACCGCGGGATGCTGTATGACGATCAAGACTGAGGATATACGTGTACGTCTACATGTACGCTAAATCTCCAAGTCTAAGAACTGGTCAATTTTTAGATCCAAATTTAATTTAGCGCAGCAATCAAACGATGAAGATAGAAGATTCATACCGCGGGATGCTGCACGATGACGAACACTCAGGATAGTCAGAATACAACTTACTTTGGCTTCCAAGTTTACGTTTGGGCTAAATCTCAGAGTCCAATTACTGGTCAATTTGTAGATCCATGTCTGTGGTTAACAGATACTTTGCCGCTTTTCAGTGCACCCACGACTGACAAATTGAAAATTTGGCGAAGACAAATTTTGTCGAGAGTATATGAGGAGCCAAACAAACTTCCATCGCGCCCGGGCTTACACACACCCTTTCGCACCTACCGAGAACGAATAAACGCGCGAAATTCCCATGATCAGGAAAATTTTAAAACATAGCTGACACATACTGTTAACTTTGACAAAAATTATTGTTTACTTAATCCAAGAAATGTGTGCAAGCATGAGGCTATACGGAAATCTTGCCCGACTAATCACCACTGTGCTATCGATTTCAGCCGAATGATAATTTACGTAAACAGTTAAATACAATATCGCTTATGAAAAGGTTACCTGCTCTTCCAACATTTCTGAAGTATAAGCTTAGGCTTCAGTTACATGTGCGACCACAGCGACCGTCAAACAGAAGAGTACGTAGCTCAAATGCTATTAACTCTGGTCCAAGGAGAAACTGAAAATTTGGAGCGTGCGCGGAGTTTTGTGGTGCGCGCCAGTCGATAACTTGTTTCCAGACTCTACTCCGCCAACCTAGAAGTAAAGGGGTAAGTAGTTTCCAACGAACCTGTGGTGCCGTGTCGGTGGGGTGGT